TTGTAAAAAAACTGTTTCACAGCACGATAAAAGAGCTCGTGAAGAAGAGTATGAGGGAGCCAATTATCAAGTTCCTTTATGTTCTAAATATCAAAAGAATCATTGGCGATGTAAAGATAATAAATGTTCAAAGTGTTGTAAGATTCGTGAATGTAATAATATTGTTTGCTCTTCCTGTCAAGAACTTGGTATTGAATGTAAGCGTGTTTTACCTCGTACTGAGTAAAAATTTGACGTGTTAAAAGCAAAGGGGCTTACTTATTCTAATAGACAATATGAGCTGACTTTAACTGGTCAATTTCATAAGCAGTGTTATTTTCAGTTTAAAGATCGAAAGACAATAAAGCAGGTTAAAATTATGTTTGATTATCGCAGTATGAGTTTTCCTTCGTGTTTATATGGTGATTCGGAACAAAATCGGGACTATAGTATGAAACTTTGGAATCGTTGTAAGAATCCTTTACATGCAAAGAATTGCTGCTGTGATTATTTTGATAGATACAAAACATGTGATGCCTGCACTGCCGAGTGTGCTAAACAACGTACACCGGCTCGTTGGCGTGATGTAGATGATCTCAAATTGCCACAAAACATGGTTGGACCTTGGGAGTTCAGAATTTACCGTAATCTTTCTGCTTCTAAAGAGGTATTGGAATTTGATGGATTTAAGAGACGGTATCTTGAAGATTCTGATCGTGTAGAGTGAATTGTTGAAGAGGGTATTTCCACTCGAGAGATATTAGATGATATTAAAGAAAAGCTTCCTCGGTTTTGGTTGCGTTCTTTGCAAGATCTTTTTTTTCTCGAGGAACAGAGAGAAAAACTTTTAAATGAGAAGCTTAAGAAATTTTGGTAATTTTATTTTTTTTTAAATTCTTGATATATATCATATTACTAATATAATAATAATTAAAATATAGGCGTCCTGTTACATTTTACATTTATAGAGCAGGTGGTGCGGGTAAATCAGGGATAGTATTTGAGCTTTTATCAAGTGAATTATATGTCAAACCAAAAAAACAAAAATCAGGTTCTAACTAGTGGAATAGATATAACAAACATGAGATAGTTCTTTTTGATGAGTGGTATACATGTATTGATTGGAATGATATTGTTAAATATCTTAATGATACTCCAGAGGATGTCGAGCAAAAACACAAAGGATTTATTCCGTTTCTAGCTAAATATATATTTATAACATCTCATAAGCCTCCAGAGGAAGCTTTTAATTTTCGCCGTAACCATGTTAATGACAAATCATTTACTCAACGAGATTGGGATCAGTTTTATCGTCGTCTTGATTTTGTAATTGAGTTCACAGGGAAGTGGAATGATGATATAGACTAGCGCACCACTGAGCTCATATTTCATAAGGGTTCAGAGGAAGATTTTTGCAACATGAATTGGGATGTTAAATATCGTAAGGGTGAATTTACTGTTGATGAGCTAAAAACTATAGTTCAAGGTTTAAATCAAGAGCAAGAGGGTGAAGTGATCATAAAACAGAATCAGGTGTACTGGCGTCGCCACTTTCCAGAATTCAAGAAAAATTATCTACACGATTATCCTAGATGCCACGAGCTTTCTGATTATAAACAGGAGCTTTTACAACAATCGCAATTAGTTTTATTTTCAACTATACTAGGAAAAAGATCTCAAGAACATATATCCGAATCTGAAACTGAATCATATTTTGATGATGATTCCGATTACAGTCGTCAACAGTCGATGGCCAAATCTAGCACTACTGCCGCAAAAAGAAAACCTAACAAGCGATTGAAGTATCGAATCGAAAAATTTTTAAATGATTCAGATCATAATGATGTAAATATATCAAATTCTCGTATGATGCTTGACAATAATTATTTTGTTCAAAAACCTGTAGAGGTTATAGAAATGACCAATGAATATGCTAGTGTTCAGGTCGATCATTTTTAACACGGCGAGAAATTATAGAAAAGCAAAATGAAGAAAGCTGTCGTCTCAATAAGGAGAATGCGAATATTTAGTTAATAAATATAGCTTAATAATTATGATTACATAGTAATTATTGGCCATTTTTATATATAAAGCCTTGATATGTATTTTTTAATATATATTTATTGCGTTTTCAAAATGAATTTAAATAATTTTTTGTTATTTAAAAATAATTTGGATAATTTTTTAATTGTAGTTGAACCATGG